AGAAGACAGGAGGCGGAGCTGGAGGTGGCAGAGTTAAAGATGCTAAGATTCTCTTTAGGAGTGACAAGAATGGACAGGATCAGGAATGAGGTCATTAGAGGGACAACACAGACAGGAAGGTTTGGAGAAAAAGCTAGAGAAGCCAGATTGAGATGGTTTGGACATGTGCAGAGGAGGGACAGTGGATACATTGGTAGAAGAATGTTGGTCGATGGAGCTACCAGGTAGGAGACAAAGAGGAAGACCAAAGAGGAGATATATATGGATGCAGTGAGGGAGGACATGCAGATAGTTGGAGTCAAAGTAGAAGTGGCAGAGAACAGGGAGAAATGGAAATCAGTGATTCGCTGTGGCAACCCCTGAAAAAAGGGACAAAGCCGAAAGGGAAATAAGAAGTCTGTATATGAAGTAAAATGCTGTGACCTTCACAGAGCAGCCATGCAACAAAGACAAGAGGGTGTGTGTGGTGCAAATAGAACAAAAGCTTAAGAAAAGTTAAGAAAAGGAGAAAAAAAGCTGAGTCAGGAGCAATGACTATCAAGAGCCGAGGGAGGTGGGGGGTCGTGGTGGGGGGGCACTCACATTGGCTTTCTCCACTGATTCACCTCTCCTGACTGATTTCTTCTGGGTTACATCCCTCTCCTGCTGCTCCTGATGACGTTGACATTAGTTGTGGACAATTACTACATTTCTGACATAAAGACTTTGACTTGTGCTACTAACTGTTGTTGAACTACATTTTGAGGGTGAGAAAATTATCTTTCTCCAGCTCACCACAACAACAGGTGGGCTGAACCAAAGAGTGGCACAATGGGATGTTGGGGGGGTGGGGTGGGGGGTGGGGGGGCAAGTGAACGGCTGTTGCTTACTCTTCTAATACATAATTCAACACACCCTATTATTTATTTAGATATTTTAATTATTCAAATAATTTTAAAGAAGACTGAACCTACAAAAACACTTTATAGAAGAATGTTTTCTGAAATTTGAACGACTCCTGATCTTCTTCTAAGTTTTCACTAGTTTTCGCAATAATCCTTATGAATCTATTCACTTGAAAACTCATCAGTTTTGGTCTCACTAAGGTGACTTGTCAACAATCAAGTAATGTGATCTCTGAAACTGTTCAGAATAATGGGCCACTCACCCAGCGTTGCTTCTCTTGCTCTTTGTTCTCAGCTTCCAGCTGCTGTTGGTATTTCCTATCAATCACAGGAACATTTACAAAGCAGAACATTATTATTTGTAGCAGTTCTGAATATATGATCTTGTAAGACAATGTTGACTACTGTTCTCCAGCTCTGATTTACTTTTGTTGATCAATTTGAGACGACTTCTCTTTGTCGCGTTTTTCCCTGAGTGCTGCCTCTTTGGCCTCTCTGTCTTTCCTCTCTCTCTCCAGCTTCTGGCGCTCCTCGTCTGCCTTGTGTCGCTCCTCCTGGCGACGTTTCTCCTCATCTCTCTGAAAACAAATGGAACAATCAGGTCAGCTGGGTTTATATCCAAACAGATTTAAATTACCTTGTTAATTGTCCATAAAAGAGACAGTAATGTGAAAACCCTTGCTGTGCTACAAGATAACTTTACACAAACAGATTTGTAATAGAACTGTTTGTGTGATATTTAGAACATTCACACTTTCTCCAATAAGAAAAAAAAACAAAACAAAAACATTTGTCAACATGTAAAAAAGTCATTTGAGGTGTGAGTATGGCACTTGGAGCAGATAGAACAACTGATTCCTGTATTATCTCCATTCCTAAAAGCTAGGAAAATAATATAATAAATAATAGTAAGTTACATGCTCATTTACTTGATGTGTGCATCTGTGTGGTTTAGGGGTGCCATCATGATCATGACCAATTATAATAATAAAATATTAATATAATTCTATAGTGTGACTCTTTTTTTAATCCTCCTAATCCTAATGAGCATTCCCCAACATATAATTGTTTTATATAAAATATGTTCATTTTATGTACTTATGTACTTTTTTGTAAAAAGTCCATCCTCTAACCTGTTGACTCAACACCCGCTTTACTATGAAGTAAAGCGGGTGTTGGGTAGTGGTGGGTTAATGTAGGTTTAAGACCTTACCTCAGCCTGTGCCCAGAAGGTGTCTTTGTTGGTCTTTCTGATTTCTGACATAGCATTGGTTTTTTGGTACACTGAACCCTGGGTAGATCAAAACAACACAAGTTCACAATTGATACAGTGGCTCCTATGTCTGTTGGACCTATTCTTGCACAAAAATTAAATTTGAATTGAGAGCAGAAACACGGTACATATGTTATATGTACAGGGCAGTGGTGGCTTAGTGGTTAAGGAAGCTGACTTGGGTCCGGTTGCAGGTTCGAGTCCACCAGCTGCCAAGTTACCACTGAGGTGCACTGAGCATCGTCCCCACACACGGCTCCCTGGGCAGCTTAAAGCTGCCCACTGTTCACTTTGGTGATGGGTTAAAAGCAGAGGTCACATTTGGTTGTGTGCAGTGGTGTGCTGTGTCACTATGACAAGGAGTTCATTTTCCTTTGCTTATGGTCCATCCTCACTAGATTTATTAAAACTCCAAGAAAGCTACTTAATCTACTACAATGGTTGATTATTCACGTGGCCACATGGTAGTCCAAAACTAGCAGCTGGAATTAAGTATAAAAATTTAGTATATAATAACATATATAACCTATTAAAATCAGAAAATAATGGCACATACCACAGGGCCCTGAGGGCCACTGTCCTGGAAGCGGCTGGAACCTTCTTTGTGGAAACTGTAATTGGCTCCTGAAGCTTTAGCCACTTTCTGCACGATCACCTCAGGCTCCACGTCCTCCTCTGCTCTGGCATTTATTGTGACATGGGCTCCCTGAAACAACATTAAACATAGCTACTGTTAATACACACAGTGTTATTATTGTCTTCTTTGTTGTTTATATGTACTGCCTCCTGTTAGCCATAATTCCAACAAGCAGTTCTGTTCAGTGCAGCTCAGTTCCCTTCAGAACAATTCAGAAGAGCAGGCTCTGACATGACCTAAACTTGCGCTGTGGGTGTGTAGGTTATTGCAACATAATTAGCATGAAATCATTTCCAAAACCCAAGTGAAGCTCATTATTAATTGCAGCAAAAACAGCGCTCCACTCTAACAGTCTGTTCTACAAAGAAAAGAAAAGCACACACTACTTAAAATCCTCTATTTCAATATACAGAATATTAAAAATTGCATTTCATTGTAGTCCCATTTCTACAGTTCTCAATCAACATATCATCAAATTAATACATGTTTAAATTCCTACCTTAAGGAAATTGGCCATGGAGCTGACGTGATTTGCACATAGTCCTTTTCTGGCATCGTTCACTCCTTCTCCAGTCTAACCAACCCAAAAAAGATTATTATAATAGGACACTTTGTTGCAGTGTTGCAGACAAACAAATTTAAAAATAACTCAGAACAGCACTAACCCAGTTGATGAGGACATATTTGGGCAAACCAGAATTTGGATCCTCTACACGACAAAAGGCATACATCACTTTTCCACTATTAAGTTCTTCAACCAGCTCCTCCAGTCCTCCATCTAATGCACAAACATTGTGGAAAAGATGGTTCTTGTGGTTAGTTGTGCAACCACAGACATTTCTTTCTCCTTACAAATCATAGGCTGAGACAGCAAAGCAAGCAGTTTTAGGCAGCCATCCTGGCTTAGAGTTTTGTGAAGACAATGAAATTCCCGAACATCTCTAAAACCATTGGGTGGGCATTATAAAGACAACAAACATTTAAATTCTCACCTCCTTTTTCAGCCAGGCGAATATCATTACTGTTACCCTCATATGTGAACAGAGCCCTGGAAAAAGGATCACATGAAATATACAGTGCTATGAATAGAAAAGTTATTTTGAATACGTAACTATAGAGTTATTAATGAATGATGAATACAGCAAAGCAGTGTTTTCAAACCTTTCTTTGAGCCACAGCACATATCCCTTGGTGCACCATTAAAATAAATGTTCCAAAAAGTATAGATAATGAAATACAATGCAATCTTCTAGTTTCAATTGACTTCAATCAGTATAACACCTGAGCCTGTTTAGTTAAACACAACACATATATTTCCAAAAATGAAAGAAAAACACACAAAGATCTTCTCTTTTAAAGAGGCTCTTTTAAATGACATAGTTTCTCTCTAAGTTTTTATTACCTTCAACTGCATCATTTAGTTGTTCTGCCCCCATTCAAAATGACAAATAGCAAGATGTATGGAAGGATTTTCAAATTACTGGTCTTTCAAACAACAAAGGACACATTTTTTATGATGTATCAGATAGTGGGTAGCTGTTAATTTTTAGTGTGTGTAATTAGCCAGGATTGCTTCAAAGGTCTGTTTTCTAAGGACTATAGTTGGTTCACAGACATCCGTCGTGTGTTGTGTTGTACTTGTTATATCCCCCTGGATAATCACTAGTCATCCTAAAATCCAAGGTGTCTGAGTTAGTTGATAAAATGTATATATATCAATCATGCAGGGGTATTGTCAGTCAGAATTTAAATCACATGAGAAAATCTGCTCAGCATATTCTAATTTAATTTGGAGCTGGGACTCCCAGAGCAATTGCTCCTTTGAGTTAATTAAAACGGATCATCATTAACCACCACACACAGACATCAGCTGTCACCAGGAGTGGTTTTACGAATTTAGAATGAGCAATGAATCAAGGAAGTCTCCAGGAAGAGAAGTGACTCTCTCTCTTCTCATATCGTGTGTACCTACACACATCAAAGCAGGAAGTAGGTGAAATATTACACTTGGTGGTATCCTGGACATTCAATGCCATACCATATTATTAGAAAACCTTGCATGTACCATAACAGGTTCACAAACAAAGTGACACAGTAGCATTAACAGGCCAGTAAATATTAAGAAAAAACAAATAAACGCTTTAGCAGATTTTATCATTCATTTTGAGCAGTATTTGTGTTAAAATGAACGCACTAATGTGTAACAGGTTAAGTGTCTATAACTGGATTTGGGTTAACACAAACTTAACTTAGAGAATGCCTCTCTGCTAACCAACACTAGGGCTAGTAATGTATATATGTTTTCTATCTCTTCGTGTATCTTTCACTGCTATAATTAAAATGTAGCTTCTTACCAGTTTGTGCTGGATTTTTCGTCGACTACTTCTTTATATGCGGCTGTTAACGCAGGGCCGTTTTTGCTCAGGTTTACTGCCATGGTGTAACACGGAATACAGCTAGCAAGCTAGCTATCCGGGGATGCGCCCTTCCTGGCTGATAGGAGGAGGAGAATATGGGAGGAGTGACTGCAGCGGCAGTGGTAAACGATGTGACTTTCAATCTTCAGCTGAGCAGGAGGGCCGGAAACTGCTTTGCTTAGCCGGCGGCCAAGGTTGCGTTGTTATGAGGCTGCATGGCACATTGTAAAACGGGGAGCTACATTCGTTAAACATGGTGGAAGAAATATATCAGTATTTAAAAAAAATCAGTGTACAGCATTTAGACACTTTGCCATGGCAATTAAAATTCAAAATCTGCACGATCTTCTTTGGCCACGTACCACGCACCGCAGAACCGCGCAGAAGAGTTGAAAGAGTCAAGCGCACCTCTAAACGCCCCTGGCAGGTAACTTTTGAAGGTGCACCGTAGATAAAAATATTTTATAATAGTTTTTGGCTAGCAGAAATAAATTACAAAATATTTACAAATTCTTATGAATTAGTGTTTTAAAAAAAACAAAACAAATCTGGTTCTTACTATAAGGAGGTCCTTACAGAAACCGCCATTTTTTATATCCATACACTTAAAGTTGTTAACGTTGAATATAATTAAAGCTATAATCTTATTACAGTAATGACTGTTTCCCTTTTTGTCACCTATGAACAGATATTTTACAGACATTACCTTATAGTCGAGTTTCACTGATATTATGGCCCCTGTTACTTTTCCTCTATTTTTCAGAATCAGAAATCAGAAACGTTTTTATTGCCAGGTAGGTTTTCACCTAAGAGGAATTTGTTTTGGCATACGGTGCAGCGAAAGAAATGTACATGAAGGCAAATGTTGATAATCAAACTAATCAATTAAAGTATGCCTATGGGTGGACATTTACAGAATAGTAGAGAATATGCAACTTTATTTTTAAAGTGCAGGGATGTGTGTGTGCAGGTAGGGATGGGTGGGGGTGAAGTGGGCGGTTGCAGGTTCGAATCCACCAGCTGCCAAATTACCACTGAGGTGCTTTGAGCATGACACCGTCCTCACACACTGCTCCCCTTAAAGCTGCCCACTGTTCACTTTGGTGATGGGTTAAAAGCAGAAGTCACATTTGGTTGTGTGCAGTGGTGTCCTTGTCACAATGACAAGTAGTTCACTTTCTTTCCTCCTTCCTAAAAAGTGGGGGTGTCAGTGAGAGCCCTTTTGTCTGTTGACAAGGCTAATAGCAGAAAGTCAATGCAGTAAGTCTAGTAAAGAACGCCTATTCTAAGGAAAGAACACCTGCAACATGGGATTACAGCCACAGCGATGTCATGAAACTTGTAAACACTGTTAAAAGTGTTGGACTAAAGTTTTTATTATTCTTAAACATCTTCACAACCTAGTTCATTACTTACTATTTTACAAATTAAAGTTTATGTATATTTCTCTGTTCCCATCTATCAAATCCCCTGGAACCCCTGAATGCATAACAAATTCTCAATAATAAGAAATGACAACAAAGCTAAACCAAAATTGATTTTATTCATATTATGCCATTGCAAATGGATGTTTTGTGTATGGGGCTGTTGTGGACAGGTGAACATTCATGGTGGCAGTCCAATTAACTTCAAAGTATGCTCTTTCTGGGTCCAGAGAGAGCCAAGCAAAGAAAGTTAAACACACAATATTGGTTTTGTTTAAGCAGTTGTCCATGACTTCTATTGAAATGACTAGCCCATTTGGAGGATATAGCCCTGACAGCAAATTTAAGGGTTATGACATTTTTTTTGGGTATGTAAAAAATGAGGTTTAAGGCTAAACATTTTTGACAGCGGTGGTGGGCAGATGAAACGTCACGAAATCCCTGATATCTTGCAAATGGCTAAGAAGGTACTTTAGAGTGCAATACATGCTAAGCTGCCTATATAATCTCTATTGAACTCATTGGAACAAGGACGTAGCATCATCCACATAAAAAACTAAAGGCTGAAGAAAGTCAGAAAATTGGACGATACTCTGCTTTCAATAAATAAATAGCCAAATGATAAAACAATAAAAATGCACATAGGACTTGAACAAGTACTATTATACGCATGTTATTTCAACAGTCTTTTGCAAGGCAGCCATTTTGACATATTTCTTGAAAAAGAACAGGCATAATTTATTTAAAAAATGCTCCATGCAGTTTATGTAAGTGAGAATAGTGAGCGAGTGAGTCCAACATGCACCCTGACAACATGGAGCTGTATTTGATTATTTAAGCCTGCACTTTTTCCAGCTGACACCTGTCAAGATCTCTGCCACAAATATGCCTCAAATGTTCTGTTAGTAAAATTATTTAAACTGCATCAAGAGGATATACATTCAAAAAGTACTGTACTGTAAGTCAAGATAATTTGTTCTGATAGTTAACAGCAAAAATCTATATCTGTTGTCTAAAGCTTGTTGTTAATTTCACTAAAGTTTTCATGCATTACTACAACATATCTGGTGAGTTCCATTAACTAATGCCTCAAATAGAACGACAATTACCCTTCACAAATCATAAGTCCCTTTTTATTGGCAGCATTGATAAAGTATGAGCAGTGATTTTCAAGAAAACCTGAAACATTGCACTCTCTATTTTTTTTGCAACAGTCACAACAGGTTACATTAAACTAATATGACATCCTATTATCATGTCCAATTCAGATGACTTTAAAGAGAAAACAAGGCCTAAAACCATAAAACCTAAAGATCAAGATAATGTTACAATGACATAAATCTGCCACCTAGAGCTTGATTTTCTGTTAAATGACAAACAATGATAAATATAAACAAATGCTTTAAAATTTCATATCACCCAACTGATAGATTTACTGCTATCTCAGAACAAAAAAGCACAAAAGTTTTACTTACTATGTTCAACACATTGTTAATCTTGATCAAGGTTCCCTTTTCAAGTAAAAGTGACCACTGCACTAACCAAATACCCCTTTCACTTAAGTTTCCAAATAGGTTTATTAGTGCAGCATATCAGCTGTTCACATCCAGAGTGTTTTAAGTTTCTGAAATTAAAAGGATGAGTGACCAAATTAACTACCATTAACTGATACTGACAAGAAACCCTCAGAAAAGTGATAGAAACAGGCTATAGGCCTGTATAAAATATTAGATATAGATGGGCCTGTTCATTGTATGAACCCTTCTCTGTAATATCTCCAAAATAGAGAATGGTACTATTTAAGTAGCACGATGACAACGTATTGATCGAGGAAACTAAAAGCTGATGAGTTGGTAAAATACCTGAGTAATTGCACTAAAGAGAAGACACACAACTGAGCTCTGGTTCTAAAGAGTAGCCATGTTCTCAAGTCATGCAACAGTAGAGTTCCATGCACTATGGTCATCAACCATGGACTGCTACTCAAAACTGATATAAAAGGGCATCTGTAGGAAACAGTGAATGCTGTTATTGGCCCTGGGGGTGTCTCAAAACAGCAAAGCAAGGGCCAGTTAGCTGTAAACAGCAAGGGTCAATAAACTAAGTACGGTTGTAATGTTAACTGCATTGGGTGATGGAGACCAATTCTTCTTTATATCTTTCACATTGTAGCAGGTAAGAGACAGTATGTGCCAACAGATCAGCTGCTGGTAATGGCACTGTACCATTTTCTGCCTCAATTGCATACCTTCTGAAAAAGATATGACAAGGAAAGGCCACTAAAATGAGAAGAATTACAGTAATAACAAGACATCCAGTGAGAATGACTGAACCATTTGAAATGAAGGGCAAACCAATCTACTAAATAAAATGTATAGCTTCCACATTGTGCACTGAAATGGCTCTGTTTCAGTAAAAATGATGCACATGAACAGTGACAGTGATTAACACAGAAGCTGAAAAAGCTGTTTAAAGTGTGGTGAAATAGACTGTGAAGAATTTTCCGGTATTCCATATGGGAGTGCTTTAAGGAGCCCATCAGGTCCTGCTCAGCAGATCCATACAAGTCATGAAGGGCAGCACATGGCAGCAGCTCAACACACAGAAAGCCAGGTGGCACTGTACCTCTTTATATTGTGTCCTTCTCCAAACCATGAGCTGTTGTTAAGTTTATTTTGCCTCAGTTGCTCATTTGCCACAAGTTACAAATTAAATGTTTCTTTTGTTCTCATTCGTGTTTTTGATCTCCCTGGCATTTTCAGACTGCGTACTTGTGTGTCCATTCTCTTGCTAATTTGTTGTACCTGAAAAACAAATGCAAAGATTGGCAATAAGTATTCAGTAGAACTCTCCAAACTAAATTTAAATACTTGTAAATGAGAAATGGAAACAGTTCAGTAAATGCTTACTTGTTATCAAGTAATTTGACTAATTATTTCAGTCCGCTGCATTTGGTAGAGTTGTTAGCTGCATCCCAAGTATGTCATTTGGGACTTTTATCACAATAATAAATGGTTTAGAGTTTTTAAGTCAAGACCAAAGACCCAACAACAACCATTACTGCTAATCATTTATTCCACCTTTAAGCTTTGCAGAAAATGCAACTTTATTGCATGTAAAGAACATTTACTGTTTGTCCACAAATACAACATCATTTATCAAATTTCCATACTCACTTTTCCCTGTCAGATTTATATGTGTGGGCAATTTCTGGTACCAGTGGGTCATCCGGATTTGGATCACATAGAAGAGAGCAAATTGACAACAACACTGTGGGGGAGGGGATGAAGGGGGGTATTAAAGAGATTTCAAATATAGGAGCTATAGAGATTATTTGCTTCATATGTTACCTTTCGATACTGTTAAGGCAGGGGACCATTGTGATCTCAGTATATCCAGACAAATACTTCCATTGCTGTTGATATTAGGGTGGTAAATCTTTGTCGTGAATGCAATCTGTAAAAAAACACCAGCACTTAGTCATTTTTAGTACAGCCATAAACATTTATAATTGTATGCAGGTTATTATGTACTTCTTACTTACTTTAGGTGGTTTAAATGGATAATCTGTTGGGAAGTGAATAGTAAGAAAAAACACTCCACCTTGATAGGGGCTGTCACTCTATTGAAATATAAAGACATGAATGACATAATTCTTTTTAAAAACAGCAACTACGTGGTTGTTCTTCTATAAACAAGTTGGCCAACATGTCACTTACCGGACCCATTATTGTGGCCTGCCAATGAAATACTGTGTAGGAAATGCATAAATAAACTCAAGTGAGGCAAGCACAATGACAAACAAAACTGGCAAAATATAACAAAACACGCTGCCCTTACAATCATCCCCAACTGGTCCAGCAGAACACTGGGCAGGAGGGTCCCTCTGCAGGTCTGAAAGTTCCTAAAAAGACAATCAGAAAATGTATCCACAATCATTTATTGGATAACATGATTATCTTTAACAATAAGTAAAGATCCTTTAAACTGACCTATCTAGGACTATACCTATGAACTGAACTGGGACAAAAAGTGTATATCCAGCAGGTTCAAAGCAAATGTTATTGTACATTGTACACTGTATTATCGTGGATTTACAAAATAAAAATTCTTGAATCCCGAACACAAGGACAATGACAGATAAATACACCCAGAATGAGGTAAACTTTGTAGAAAGCATTAGCAATGAACCCAATGGTGGGTTGTAATGTTTCAATAAAAATTAAGAAAATAATATAATGTAGTTAGTCTATATTTCAAATTTATATTACAAAATAAATGTTGGTCTTCAGGCAAAGAGAAGGAATTTTCATATATAGAAAATTCTATGTATATATAAAATTTATAGAAAATTCCTTCTCTTTGCCTGAAGATATGCACCAGTGTCACTGCTAAACTAATCTGAACTGGATGCAACCAAAGTAAAACAGCTGTAAAACATTTTGTATGGCTTTGGTCCCAAACCAATTAAATAAAATAGGTACAAGACAAAACATAAGTCAATGTGCCACACACAGATTTAAAGTATCTCGTAGCTTTGCATATTAATGAGACATTATTTAAACCATTGTTAAGACCTTGTAATTAATTCATGTCATTTTAAAACTGATGGAAACCAGAATCTGACATCAGGTCAAATTACTTCATTGAAATTGAGATGAAGGACAATGAAAGTATTCTGATGAATATTATACACCAAACATTATTATAAATAATCCAGACACCTCTTCATTACACACTGACTATATTTTTAAAGACAGACATTATGCTCATTATTTAATACCTCTTAAAGGGAGGCCTATCTATTCTGTTATATAAATACACACCATGGCCTGCTCCAGTGCCCCATTTGCCATTCCATATATGGTGACACTAACTTGAGGGTTCAATTTTGGCAACTAGCAGGCAGCTGTCATTCAGTGACTAAAAAATATCAGTGGTAGCACCACTTACGAAAAGGCAAGAATAAGGAAGTTTGACAAGTTCGGTTCTAATAACAAATGATGTCAACAAATGTCAGCCAACGAGAGAATGGGCTGAGGTAGACCATGGCATTCATTAAACAGTAATATATTAAGAAATAAAACAGCCATTTTATTAACAACTGCACACAAGTTTACTAAATATAATGATGTATCCTGTATATCTTTTATACCCCCTTATTGGATCAGTTGTCGATTATAGCATGGTAAAGTTCTATTATTGTCAGTTGTTGTCAAAAGAGCACTCTAAAAGGCCTTGTAAAGTTTCAGACACTACCCTCTCTACAACTTTATTTATGACCACTGTTCATTAGTATCTTAAATATGTTTCCAATAAATAAAGCAAACAAGTAGTGATGTAACGGCTAATGGCTTTTTTGCTTTTCTGTAATGTTGCAAGTTAAAAAAAAACCCAAACGTCTGACCATACTGTCATAACAATTTAAGATTCGGGTGTAAAAAACCCAACACAAGAAAGCATAGAGTGAAGTTGATTTAACAACGTTTGGAAATATAAATACACAACCATGACGCTGTTTTATAGTGTTTACTGTAGCACTGCACCAACAGGCCACTCTGTTAGCTCCTCTTTGTCTTACCGTTATTTATGAAAAAGAGCAACAAAAGGAAGCACGACGATGTCGAGCAGTGTAGACTTCTAAGCAAATCCGATAGCTGTGCCATTAAAGGTTTCATCAAGTAAAAACAAAGTTTTGGAAACTAATACTGGTACAGGAGAGAAATGTCAACTCACCTTCTGTATTCTTTTCAACGCCATTGCTTCAATGGCTACGCTAACTAGCCCGTCAGCTAACGGTTAGCACTTTAGACATAAAAGGCGAAATTCCAAACCTCACTTAGTGTAGAGGTAGCGATCACCTCGACATTTATTTGACTTTAGGTTATTGGGATCCCAGTGCAGCGTTTACAATAGAACCAGTGTCAAAGCTTTATCTTTCGTTAGACTGACAGAGAACAACCGATATATTTTGTCGTCTTCTCTCATCACTGTCTCACTGTGTTTCTGTCGAGGAAATATCGCGAGATTTTTTTATCTATTTTAAAAATGAAAGGTTAAAGTTAAACAAATGGAAACTGCTAACATAACTGAAGTTAATGATAACAATAACAATAGGACAAAAACGCATTTAATATATTATACAAATGTAATAATTGATAAACGTTTATTTCTAAATACAACATTACTCGTTGTAAATGCAATTAATATTTCATAGTTCATATGGGCGTTGACTGCTTAAGGACATCATTTTCGGCACATATTTTCGGCACACATTTTCGGCACAAACAATTTTTGCATAATTGTTTGTGCATTATGTAGAGGAGAATTGAAGAAAGAGGTCACGGACACAGCACTAACATGCAAAAGTGTATATATACTTAAAAATACAATTAAAAATAAGTTACAGCATGTGACGCATTGGATTAAAAAAAGTAAAAGTTATTCAAAGTTAAAAGCTCATAATTTATTTTTCAAGGTTCACGTAAAATTCTAAATCAGGTATTTCAGGTTTTATTGCAAGGTTAGGTTTAGAATTCCCCCTTGTACTTCATGCTCCATCAAACGTGACGTTTAGTACATTTACAAAATAAAATCAAACAACCATATTTTATATAATGCATTTACTATTAATACTTAATTAATACTATTCAAGACATATTTTATATGTCCCCGAAGGCCAATTAAAAGATATAGACAGAGCAGTGATACTGCTGTCAGTTATTGTGAAAAAAAAACAATGTCCACAAGATGTCGCTGTTTGCAAAGAACATAGGCCGATGTAGTCCAAATTTTACTAAGCAGTACAGTACTACTATTTTGTTTGTTTTCACGCCAAAGTTGCAATAATGTCGATCAAACTAAATGATTCTAGCTGATATTAGGTCAATGTGTGTTTAAGGTCGAATAGATCTCTGCAAGTTGTCCTACCAAAGTGTATAACAATGGAGCAGCAAAGCGACATGTGTATCATTCACACATACATAAGAATGAAGGAAAAGACTATAGAATTCCTCATTCAATACTTGATCATTGTAAAGACATAATATTCTGAGTCAGCTGCATGCTCTGGTTTCTGCGTGGCCTTGTCTTGCAAAGCCTCATGAGCTCTCCTTTATATATCTTAAACAAGGGTGAAAAAAGAGCTCTCATTATTTTAGTGGCTGCGCATGAATGGACCGCAGTGTTCATTCTTCTTAAATGGCTGATTCAGTGTCAGGTTGAGGATCCTGTCGTCAATGTGACACTGAGAAGGGGCCATTTTCCTTTGGAAAGCTGAAGATTCCTTCAGATAATATCTTATTGTTTGCTCATCTCTGTGCTCTCAATGACCTGCCTGTCCTCAGGGCCTGTCTGTAATCAGATTCAGCCAGCAGCCACAGCAGAAGCAGCAGAGGTAGCAGTTTGGGCGGTGGGTGCCCTGTGCTCTGGGTTTGTCTACTTGGAGAGGCCATTTATCAGCGTTAGGTTTTCAGACGCACTTTGTTGGCTCCAAGCTTCGGCTCACAAAAAAAAGCTCAGGTTTCAGTTTAGTTTCCTCTGATATCACATGTGCTTACGTGGGACCCTGTAAATGTTCACCTCAATTAGCAAGACATATCTTTTGTTTTTATGATGCAACATATACCTGACGTATAGAGGGAATTTCCCCCCACCCCTATACAGAATTTGAGTTTTTAGTTACAGAACTGCTGCCCTAAGTTAAAACTGATGTATGAGCTGAGGTGTGAATGTGTCAGAGCTGTGATGATATGGGTGGGGGTTGGAGCTGGAGTCTCACAAGGAACATAGCCCATAGTGCTGTTATTTGAAACCATGCACACAGCAGACAGCGATCTGTCTTTTGGTCACATGAATCATCTTCAGTTAGAAGTTCCATTGTAAGGCTGTAAAGCAATTCACTTACTCTGGCAATTATGCTTGAGCTATGTACGGGCTGAAGTCTATTGCACACAGTGGCACTTTTACCACTGAGCCAAGACAAAGCACATCCATAGTCAGTGTCATTTTGGAAAAATCAACTTAAATGGGACTGGCAGTGTCTGAATTAACCAATAAAAGTGCAGCCGATTCATGCTTGAGCACAAACAGGACACCCAGTCCACAGAGGTGTGTCCCACCTTGGGTGACTGTCTGACCTTCTCTGAAGGAACAAACATCCATTGTTTCTACATTCTGAGAAATGTTTGTTCGCTCCTTGTATCAATTGCCTTTATTGGATTATACACTCAGACCATATGTGCAAGCAGTGTTCAAGTTTGCAATGAAGTCAGCACTCTGCACAATCAAATAATTCTTGAGCTAAGCAACTGGAAAAGAGTCATTATGTGCAGAGCAATCAACGTTTCATGGCTCATTTCCTCAGCTGTGATTTAATTTTGCTTGTCATTGTTAAGGTGGCCTTTGACCTAGTAGAATCCCTGGATCATCCTTTAAATCTTCCCAGTGCTTTTGTAGGGATCAGTATCAGAGAGTTTTGTTCAGAATAAAATGAAAAAGTTCCCAGTACACATACTTTTCTTGTTGCCTTCACATTATCAAATTTAAGTCAGGAACAACACTGTTTTTATCTTAGGCTCAGAGATTTAACATCGTGAAATCAACATTTGGCTTAAATTGCAGAGTGGGTTACAAGTTCACAGGTTCAATTACTGGGTTAAATGATTATTTCTCTGTTTTGTCTTCATGGTAATTGAGAAAATTTTCTATAAAATTATTACAATTTGTTCAAAATAATTCGCTAAATGTGATCTTATTTTAATGTTGCACAGTTTTACTCTAATCAGGGAAAACTTTATGATGATATTAGGTGCAATTTTCTATTCAAGCTAGCAGTCACTTAAAAGCTAAATATGTTACCTTGTACTTGGTAAATAAATGTTGACAATTATACACACACACACACACACACACACAGACACACACACACACACAAAGATATATAGCTGCATTTATAGCACCCTGTGCAGAAAGATGCAGTAACCTTAAATTAACACGCACTCTACCACAAAGGCTTATTACATGTTTAGAAATATAACCTAAAAGTTTTTTTTATTATTTGTGTTTGTCTAAAGTATTACAAATGGTAAAACAAAATGTTAAGTATTGATTTGTCACAGATTCTCCATCTTCAAAATCAAAAACGAGCTACCTGGTTTTCATCTGTCATTTTTGGAATTTAATTTTTTCCATCGGGTAAACATGTGAGGGATCCGATCCACCCTCACTGTCTGTCACCTCTGATCCACCCTTTATTAGATGTGCATCATGTGGAGCACAAACACAAATCACACGTAGTCATAAAGAACCAACAATCCTCTGGGGTGAAGCACTTTATGGAGTCGTCCCTGAGGCCCTGTGTGCCTCTCAGTTGCTCCACACTTCTGACACAGTGATTGACAGCTCGGGGAAGCATTTTACAGTGCTAGTCTTGCAATGAGTACTCCCCTGAGCCTAGGTAATAACTAGTCTCGAGTGTTGACTAAATACATTTAGTGGTGACTCTCTAGAATCAAATGTATTCCAGCTGTTTGAGTTCTGATGACAAATTCAGGCTTTCACAGATTGCTGAGCTTCCGTCAAAGACAAAGGAGGGATTTCCTCTGAAACAGACAGACAGGCCGTGGCAGCACCAACAAATGCCTTGGTACTGTTATCAAATGGAGTCAGACTAAATATAAACTGCTTTATCTGCAGTCTGAGCTGGTGCAGCAGTGCTGAAGAGGGTAACACAGGAAATACAGGCTGATTTTGAGGACATGTGTGTGTGTGTATATATGTGCTACACATATACACACACATGCTGAAATTAAAATGCTGAAATTAAAATTAATCAATGCTATGCTGTATTTTACATTTGAAAGATGAAAGAAAAATCATACTCATATTAAATCATATTTCACAGATGGTTTCATTTGAAGGATCATATTTTTAACAAAGTATTTTTGACCAAATCTTTCTAGCATCATTTTTACATTATGATTTCCAAAAGGAAATCCAAAACCTAACATAAGTAGAGCCCCTTCTCCTAATGGTAGAATTTCACAATTTGTAAATGGTAATTTTCTATTTTTTTTAAACTAAACTAAACTAAACTTTTTTTGACTACTACTGTTATGTTTAAAAAGAAAAAAAATAGTTTTCTTCTGCTGAGTCATCGTTTTTTTTTCTTCTTAATCTTTCTGGGTTTTTGTTAATAATTTCTCTTGACTGTGTAACTGTGTTAAAGGACATTAACTGACACATGTTAATACACAGCAAAATATAAATGATGATGTTTAGTCATAAACTCATTCTCTGATGTACAATACACACACATGCTATCAAAATGTGAAGAAAAACAAGTACAATTAATAAAAAACATATTTGTAATTTCATGCACTCAGACACACACACAGACATAATGTAAAAGTAATAGTTGTTACACAAGGGACTGTGATTTTCCATTTGAAAGAAAAGCAGGAAACAATCCTTTTGGTTGCAACACATCGTAGAGTGCGAAGTGGTTGAACAGGAAATATCCGCTTTCTTTTTTTATGTTTGTGTGATCAGACTCATGGGACATTTGAATATGTTTTTACAGCAGTGCTGTGGACCAGGGCTAGAGTTGGCGTCACCACCTGTTGTTTAGACTGTGTTTTTAATGTGCAGAGGTGTGTTAGCAGTTTTGTTGATTCTGTGAGTGTGTGTGAAAGTACGTTACAGGGACCTTGAGGGTGGTGAAGGCTGCGGTGGGGACGGGTGTGAGGGGAGGAGGGGCTGTCTATCCTGCTGCACAATAAACAGTTTGTTTCCCAGGAGCACCCCTCATGTTCCTGTTGTTGGCTCCATCGCTGCTCACTGGGAAACGTCCTGGCCTCTATTGTCTGGGAGGTCGGGGGTCACAGGATATTCCTAAAGGCCCAAAAGGGGAGGTAAGAGGTTGGATAGTGAGGCATGATAAAGAGTCAACCCTCCTCCTCTTATTTTCTCAACGCACACACTCCTTTAAAATACAAAGCAAAAAATT